AGCCCCCTCGGTGTTACGGGGCACGCTGTGTAGTGTTCTCAGTTGGAAGGCGGTGGGGGTTGATAACGCTCATTAAAGCCTTGAAGGACCGATAGTGATCTTGTGGTTGAAGAACTTGTGAGCTGCTGGCCTGGAGCCATCGCTGCCAGATGCCTCGGCGATGGGCACGTTACATTAACTCTAGTAACAGCCGGTAATGTGCAGCCTTCCTTGTTGTTCCTCTTCGGCTTTGTTTACAAGAAAAGCTGCGTTGTAAACCTTAACGCTGTCCACGTTACCAGCAGCCCACTCCTTGGTTCTCAGTTGGCCATGTTTGAGGCTGAAAAGTGCCTGCTCTGGCTTCCTTTTTAGGTCTCCCTTCTTTGTCCCTTGCTTCCTGTCCAGCTCTCTTCTTTCGATGTCTTTCCTTGAAAGTACCATCTTTGTCAAGAGAGTCTTGAACCTGTTTAGCAATGTGAACCGCTTCTCTGTTTTTGTGGGGCTTTTTTTTTTTTTTGTTTTTTGGGGTTTTTTTTTTTTTTTTTTTAATTAGTAGGGAAGTCATCTTTTTAATTGTACTTTCTATGGTAACACCAAACAACCGCTCTGACATTGTTCGCTGAGGCTTCCCTTGTAGAAATTTAAAGGAAGTGGTCTTGAGGACAAAAGAGTAATTTTTATTTTAACTTCAATGGTTCACTGAAAAACTCATTAGTAACAGAATCATGTTTTTATGCACTGCATCCAGTAAATACTACGTGGAAAGTAGCTAGCTTAGCTATGTGTAGAAGAACATCATGTGTCACGTATCCAGTGGAGTCTCATAAATATTTTGACATTTTTGCATAGCTGATATACATCTCAAAAACTGCTTTGGAGAAAAAAATTTTTTTACAGGACTTAAGAAATTCTGCCAGTGCGTTAACAGTAATAACACTTTGCACATTTATAGTGCCCTTCAACAGAGGTGAGCGTGCCATTCCTCTTCCCCCCCTCCCCCACATATCCCTCAAAAGCTTGGTAAGTGTTATGGATGAGACAGGAGGAAAGAAGTAGAGTATTTAAACTATTTGCCAAAGCCATGTATTAGCAGCAGAACTGGGAATATAACCCGATTACAAGTTGTTTGCTTGAACGCCTTTGGCTCTTGCCAAAACATCTCAATAAAGTTATAATTAACTGTGGCTGGCATTGCCACGAGCTGTAACAGCATTTATCTGCTGCGGAGTCATGTTCAGAAAGGTGCAAAATTCTTGGCTGTCTCTATAGACATCAGGCGTTGCGTCTGCTGTGACCATTTGTAGTTGAACATTCTTTGATCCGT